GGAAATCACTCCCAGCAGAGGAGCTAATTCTTAGCACCCACATTTAGGGAACAGGCTCTCTTCCTCTGTGACCCAGTGGAGCACAGCTTTGCCCTTTCCCACTGCCACTGTGAGTGAGGCATGGGGAAAGCCATAAAGCTTTCCAGAAAAGAGAACCATTTTCCCTTCCAGGATGAGAGAGAAAAGGCGGAGGCATGCTGCCCCTCAGTCAGAAAGTCAGGAAACCACTGCGCTGCTCAAGGGACACTGTTATTCCCCTACCTTGGTTCTGCATCACAACCCCGAAGTCTCGTTTACATCAGAAGCAAAGCTCTATAGCTGCAGCCCTAAAACTCCCTGCTGCCAAGGTACTTTCCAATACGATAAAGGGAATAATTACATCGGCATACATCATCTTTATGCTTTAGCACTAAGGTGTTTCTAGTAGAATCATTTCTGTTGTGGGTTTTTTGTTTTTTTTTCCCTTCTTCAAGCTGCTCTCATTACCGAAACAAATTACATGAATAAAAATGTCCAGAGGGAAACAGCCCTTCATCAGGAAGTCAGTCAGCAGCCCCCTGCCAGGCCTCCACCTCCAGTCCCAGCCCCGCTCCTCCCACGGCCATGGACGGCTGCACAGGAGGCTGTCACTTAAGTAAAACCACATCTCATGCGTTGCCCCGCTACCGATGTCAGCGCCTGAAATCAGTTTTAGATGGACTTTTATAACACCCCCAGAGCCATGATAGCATCTCACATGGTTCGATTACAACAGAAAGAAGTAACCAACTGACACAGCGCGCTCGCCAGTAAGTGAAGGGAACGGTCCCTGTACACACGTGTGTATCAGAAGCTGAAAGCATTAACTGACTTGGTTAAGCTGTGCTCACACATCAGTCTATCTCATTTGCTTGGAGTCCCGCTAGTTCCCCCGGATGAGGAGAGGCTGAGGTTAAACTGAGGTTAGCTGGCACATGTCAGCCAAGCCTGACCTAATCCTTGGTTTATTCCAACTTGTTGTGACTTTCTCTCTAAATAATATTAAGAATAGGATGAAACCACAGCGCTACAGTTGTTGTGTTCCAAATAACTATTTTTAGGAGCTGTACACAAACAGATGAAGGCTAGCTATGCATGTTGGCCTCTCCACAAAACCCCATTCTCCTTTCCCCAGCCCTCCCATCCCATCCAAAGGATGTGCACAGATATTCCACACCAACCCCATCCTGAGCACCTCCTTCAGCTGCTGAAGCAGGAAGACATGCTCAATGCCATCTCTGCAGCAAATAATGAGACCCCCCACGACTTGGACAGAAACAATCTGTTTGCAAAACCCCTGCCCACAGTGGAGTGGTGGAGCTAGTGATCTTTGAGGTCCCTTCCAACCCAAGCCATTCTATGACTCTATGAATTCAGACTTTGCCTAATAGCTTTATCATACAGGGCAGATAACTTCAGCCAGTTGGACTTCCCATGGACTTACTCCTGTTCTTTGTGCTGGATCCAAGGGCTGGGGAAACCTCCCTCCCTTCTCAAAGCAGCTTTGAGACTTGGCATAAAAGTAGGGATTTCAGGAGCAATACAGAAAAAAATAATAATGCAGCTTAAGCCACAGAGGTGCCACTTTTTACTCCTTTTATTGAGTATACAATATTTTGCTCCCACTATTTCAAGGAAAATAATGCCCCATGTGATTGCTATGGGATGTAAATGTGTACTCCACTGTTCAGACAGAGCTCATAACTGAAACATTTGAGAGCCAATGAAATCCCAAGTGTAAAGTTTTTAATTTTCATTCAAGCACGGCATTAAAATTCTGGTTGTGCAGGAAAAAGAAAATACTACCTCAGAGTGCTTTTGAGGTCTATTCCTTCTGATACAGTAACTAGGATAACTCAGCAGAGATGCCTGCAGCTTGTTCCTGGTGCTACTACCTAATCCTCTTTTCCCATCCCTACTCCCATAGCACAGAAGAGTTTGCCAAAAGGCTTGTAAAGGAGATGGGGACTTGGCCTGCAATGTGTTAATGAGTGCCATCACCTTCACACAATCACAGAATGGCCAAGGTTGGAAGGGACCTCAAGGATCATGAATCTCCAACTCCCCTGCCACATGCAGGGCCACCAACCTCCCCATTTAATACTAGACCAAGCTGCCCAGGGCCCCATCCAACCTGGCCTTGAACACCTCCAGGGATGGGGCATCCACAGCCTCTCTGGTCAGTCTGTTCCAGCACCTCACCACTCGCTCTGTAAAGAACTTAATCCATGTACCTACATCCAGGTACCTCCAGCCCTGCATGAGAAACCATGACCACGTTGCATGAGAGCATGGCTCATGCCAAGGCAGCTGCAGGATCTGCACAGATGTACCCATGACAAACGCAGCGGGCTGACGCACTTACCAAAACAACATCCTCATCTGAAGGCGCATGACCATCATTTATGGGAAGGAGAGGGTTATCTTGCAATACTGATCTTATTCAGCAGCTTCCAAGATGACTGGGTATGATACAAGGGTAAAAAACCTCAGCTGTAACCACTAAGTGCTCAGCACAGCTGACAGGGAAACCCTGCATGAATAGCTGTGCCTCTCAGATCCTCAGACCGCGGGCCCCAATGCCCGCACTCACAGCCTGTATTCAAAGCAGCCTCTGACTGCTTCATGCTCCAACCATGTGCTTCTCATACTTGTATCCTGTGATCTTCATGGGCTGCCTGTTTCACAGTCCCATCAGAATTCAAGGTGTTGAATTTAACCTAGAGATGTTTTTGTGGTTTGACATTTGCCTGGCAGAGATGGCACCACCTCTCCCTATCAAAACTGTGAGCGGAACAATGATTGCTTGGGGGTCTGCTTTTGCACTGTTTTCCTTTTATGCCCGCTCAAAAAATATTGGCCATTGTACCTTTGGAAAAGACTCAACCTATGATTGTCATCCATGTCCAATGGACCAAGTCAACCCATTCCAATGTTTGCATTCCACACGCTACCCAATTCACCAACCCTTCAGGGCACCAGGACCTGCCTCTTTCCCTGGGACAGTCCACGGAGACGTAAGGAGAAGCCTGCTACATGCTGTTTCATAGAATCGTGTAATCAGTAAGGTTGGGGAAGACCTTGAAGACCACCTAGGCCAACCATCAGCCCATCCCCACCGTGCCCATAACCATGTCCCTAAGTGTTATATCCACACAGTTCTTGAGCACCTCCAGGGATGGTGACCCCACCACCTCCCTGGGCAGCCTGTTTGTTGCAGTCTTTCAAGCACTGAGCATAGAGGAAGGATGAACAACTTGTGGTTATGCCACCATATGAAGACGTGGCTTCCAGCTTTTCTAGCAACCTACCACGGATTTCCCAAGAGTTTTGAGCAGGTCAGATAACCTCTCCCATCAGACTTTTCCCCCCTTTCAAGTGCCTGGGAAGGAAACATTCACAAGCAATCACTGAACACTCAGACGTCAGAATGGTGAGGGCTTGATAACCAGATGCCTCTCTCCCTGGTGAAGGAGCAGCACGATGTTTTTAATGACTTATGTCTGCTTTAGCTGCCATGGAAATACTTGGGTTATGAAGCACAGAATATAAATAGCAATAAAAAATGGCTTTTTTTATAAGAAGGCCTGAATCTTTTTTTCACCTGTAACTCCAAATGCACATAAGAGAACATCAAATTGCAACTCACAAGGAGCTAAAACAGCATTACAGTCATACTGCATGGGAAACGTAATGACACCAGGAGAGAGGCAAAACAAAATGGACAACTTGCTGGGGTCCGGCTCAAACACCTTGAAAAAATGCCATTTGCTCAAGTCAGGGCTGAGATTTGTGCCAGGTAAAGCTGCAACAAAATGGAGACGAAAAGTCTGAATCATGTCCCCGGAGGGAGACAGATGAGGGCAGGCTGAAGTTCACGTCAATCCCCCAGGCTGATACAGAAGGTGTCACAGCTCCGCAAACCAAAATGAACGGCTCAGCGGGAGTCGCTCTGCGATAGGAACTGCCTCGATACGAGCCGGTGCTGCAACGCCAGAGTGGCAACGCCTGAAACCTGCGGGCAGAGCACCGGGACGGGAGGACGAGAGGCGCTCGGGGAAGGCTGCCCGCCTGCCTGCGGCCACACCACCAAACACCGGGGGATCCTGCGGCGAGCGCGTCCGGACGGGACGCTGGGCACGGCCCTGGGGAGGGCACCCTGGGGCAAATGGGGCAAACGCAGCGGATACACCGCTATTTAGACCGCAGGGGAAGGGGGAAGGGGGATTCGCCCCTTTACTTGCACTCAGCATCCTCCCCCTGGGTCTCTGTGGGGAAAGAAGACACTGGCTATGGGCCGCGTTCCGCTGGCACCCCGGCAGGGTTAACCTGCTCTGCGCTTCCAGTTCTCCTCGTTTTCCCGGTTTCTTTTGCTCTGACATTTGCATCTCGGCTTGACAGCTGTTTTGTATGGGAGCCGATGTGCCCGTGCATGCTGATACGTAGGAGAACAACACCAGCTCCTACCGCGGCTCTCGAGCCGGCTGCGGGCTGCCGCCGCGCTCCCCCCTCGCCGAGCAGCGTGAGGAACGTCAACTTTGGAGTCCTGCTTTACCGAACGGCACTCCTTCGAGGCATCACCCCCCAACCACCCTCTCGCTCGGGATCAAAGATTAAAAAAAACCAACACAGAAACCCCCGCGAAGTCGGTGCGCCGCCGTGTCAAGCTCCGGGTAAACAAGCAGCAACACGCCGGAGATGCGTGCAGAAAGCCTGCGTGCCAGCGCGCAGCGCCCGGCCAAACCGCTGCCTGCCGGGGAGCAAAGTTTGCTCGCTCCGACCGCTCCGCTGCGCTGCTGCCGTTTCCTGTGGAAAACTCCGAGCTCCCAACGCCGCCCGGCACGGACTGGGCACGGGGCGGCGCGGTGCCGCGGAACGGCTGACAGCGGGATGCAGAAAGGGGCGATGCGGCGGCGGCCCCTCCCGGCCCCGCTCCCCCCGCCGCTACCCGGCGCAGCAGGTGGCCGCTCGCTCTCACTCACCGCTGGCGTTCTTCCCGCAGATGAGGTGCTGGTAGGGCTGCAGCAGCCCCCAAAGCTCGGGGTCGTTGTTGACCGTCTGCTCCAGAGCCTCCAGCGTGAAGCGCGGCCCCTCGGCGCCCTCCTTCTCCCTCTCGGCCGGGCCGGCGGCCGCACCGGGGGTGGTACGGCCGGGCGGCGGCAGCGGGGCGGAGGGCCCGGCCCCGGCCAGCACCCGAGCGTGGATGTCGCGGAAGAGGCTCTCGGTGCCGGCCGTCAGGTAGATGGCGGCGTGCTCGTGGATGCGCAGGGCCACGCGGCTGTCCACCATCCAGCGGTAGAACTTGCCGACGGAGAAGGCCAGCCCGCAGCGCGCCGACTTGCCGCGGCTGAAGCGGTCCCCTCCGCTGCCGCTCATGTTGTAGAGCGAGAGGGCTCCGAGGGCGGCCGCCGTGCAGCGGGCGGCCAGCGTCCAGCCCAGCACGATCTCCATGGCGCTGCGCACCTCGTGCTTGGTGCACTTGGCGAAGCGCAGGCTGAGGCGCTGAGCCTCGCGGGCGATGCGCACCAGAGCGCGGCTCACCAGCGTGGACAGCCGCGCCGCCGCATCCCGCCCCGCCGCGCCGCCGCCGCCGCCGCCCGGCGCCCGCGGATCCCGGCGCGGCTGCGGCGGCTGCAGCAGCGCCTCCACCTCCTCCAGGCTCCAGGGGACCTCCTCAAGGTCGGGCAGGAGCCGGGAGCAGTGCTGCCCCGCGCAGTCCAGCACCTCGGAGTCTTCCGCTAGGACGGTGTTGACGGTGTCGAAGCTGTTGTGGCGACTGTGCATGGAGTCAGTTAGGTGCGGCCGGCAGCTTCCTCCATAGGGGTACGCGGGGTGCGAATCCGAGCAGCACAGCGACAAGTTGGAGGAGCGCACCGAGTCCGCCGCTCCACCATAGCCGGAGTCCAGCGTCAGGTCTTCCAGCGTCCGCGCCGCCGTCTTACCCCGCCGTGCCATCATCGCCGCGCTTCATGCTGCACCCGCGGGACCCGGGCGGGGTGCGGCGGCCGGCGGGGACGAGGCGGAGCGTCGAGCCCTGCGGGGCAGCCCGCTGCCGTGCTCCCAGCGCCGCCAGCCCGCGGAGCGCCGCCAGCCCGCGGAGTGCTGCTGCTGCTGCTGCTGCTATTGCTGCTGCTGCCGGTGCTGCCCTCACACCGCTGCCAGCCCGGCTCCTGCACTGCGCCGCCGGCCCGACCCGCACCGCAGCGCAGCGCCGGGCGGCGCAGGGGGGAGGGCTGGGTGGGTACATGCAAAGCGCCGCCGGTCCTCGGCCAATGGGACGGCGTGAAGGGCGGGGACATGCAAAGCGCCGCGCCCCGCGGCCAATGGGGCGGCGCCTCCGGCCGCCAGGCCCCGCCCCTCAGCTCTACCCCTCGCCTCCGCGGGGTGCGGAGCCGCAGCGCGGTACGGGGAATGGGCGCTGCCCGCGGGACGGAGGCACGGCCGCCGGCAGCGCTCCTCTGGGACGAGGCGGAATCCCCGCCGCGCTCCGCTCCTCTAGTTTGCGGGTTGTGCTGTGAACGCGCTAACGGCAGCAAGCGCACGCAGCCGAAGTGGTCGAGCTGCCTTGGGCACCGGTGCCGTAGCGTGACCCCTCTGCAGGACGGCACGGCGGGGATGGCGGTGGCGCGGGCCGGGAGACCCCGCCGTGAGCAAAGTCCTGGGAGCGGAGCAGCGGCACCTCGGGGCTGGCACCGCGAGCGCCCCGCAGCAGAGCCCTCTGCTGTCCGCAGCCCCGCAGAGCGCTCCGCTCGGCTTCGAGCTGCTCCAGCAGTGCCGTTCGCCTGAGCGTGCCCGTACGCTTCTGCACAGCGCTGTGCCCTCGTGCTCAGCCGGGAGTCCAACTCCTGGCTCCACGCAGCACCAGCCAAAATTCAGACCCAGTGTCTGAGAGCGGTGTCCAGAGCTTCTTGAACTCTAGCACTCTGGACCGTGCCCACAGCCCCGGGCATTCTGTTCCATGTCCACCACCCTCTGCTGCAGACCTTGTCCCCAACCTCCAGCTGCCCTCCCCTGACGCAGCTCCATGCCGTTCCCTCGGGCCCTGTCGCCGTCACACAGAGCAGAGCTCAGCGCTGCCCTCCGCTCCCTGTGAGGAGCTGCAGCCGCCATCAGGCCTCCCCTCAGCTCCTCTGCTCTGCGCTGAGCAAACCCAGGGACCTCAGCTGCTCCCCACGGCCTGGGAGTAGGCATTTGCCTACCAGACACATCCACCGCAGAGAACGGTTCCTTAAATGCCGGGTAGGGGGTGGTGATTTTCCACTAGTTGGGGCCATGGGCATCATTTATCCATGGACAGAGCAAAGAGTTCAGGCAGGAGCTGATGAAGTACCTGCAGGGGATGATAAGTGCCAGCATGAGCTCTGAAAGAAGTAAATTGAAGCACGGTTTAGGAAGGTGCTCAGGGCAAACTGAAGCAAACAGGAATGAGATGGTGTGGGGAGAGCAGTGAGGGGCGCAGCGCTTTCTCTCGCCTTCCCCAGCTGGTGAACTGCCTGCAGGCTGCACTGCAGTGGGAGGTGGGGGAGCAGCAGGGCAGGCCCCAGAGCAGGCTGCCCCGTGCCACCATCATGTGCCAGATTCCTTTGTTTTTTGTTGGAAACCGAAAGCTGAAGTGAATTCAGGGAGAGCTGACACATTCCTGCTGGCTAAGACCGCTGGTAACTATTAAACATGATGATGCACATGCGATCTTCAGCTCAGAAGGTTTCTCAACAGCTGTTTGCCAGAAGTGGGGAGATGATGCCAGGGGAAAGAGTACTCAGTGGTCACTTGGTGCCTCGTGGCTCTTCAGCTGGCAGCCGTGAGAGCAGAGACAGTGCTGGGGATGGAATGAAGCCCCTTGGTTCGAGCCTCTGGTTCTCAGCAAGGCTCAGCCATGATCTCTACACCCATCCTGACAGATTTCAGTCTCTCCTCTTGCTGAACCCATGCGTGATGAAGAATTTACAGCTTTCCTGTATGGTCTGTTTCAGAGTCCACTGCTGCCAGGAACAGCCCTCCCAGCACCTGGCCTAAGCTTTTCTTTGCTGCAAATGTAGAGGGTAAAAAGATGCTCCCAACCTTTGTTTAGTGGCCTGGACCAACATCACTTTCTCTTAGGCAGCACTGAAAGCAAATAGAGCCAAGCAGGATAAACGGAGCTCTCCTCCAGCCAGTGGCTCCAGGTGCTTCTCACGATTCTCTACACCCCTCCCATACAGCGTTACAGTGTTTGCATGCTTTGTGTGCAGCCAGTTCATACATACATGCTATGTTTTGATCAGAACTAAAGGAAACAGGAATAGCAGGCTTCCCTGAGCACGGAGACAGGGAACGGCAGTGCTCTGCCACTGGGAATTTCCATTCCCACCCAGACACACCAAGACTGCAACAGGGACAAATGTTCAGGTAAGCAAGAAAACAATTTCAAGGTGAAACACAAAGCAACATACATGCTGGAGATCAGCAGTGACTGCTGCATTGATCTGGACAGAAATAGTTTAACTCACTCTGCATTTTAAGTGATCGTTTTTCCCCATCTATCCATCACCACCTCTTAATATGTGGCAGTTCAGGACTGACAGACAGGGGGAAAGCAGCCCCCAGGAGGTTACCTCGTGGGCAGGGGCTCCTTCTGGTTCTGGAGGGCCTCTGGAGCCCTCAGCTGCACAGAGCCATTGAGATGAGAGGCAGATGCCATACCCTGGTACTAAGGGGAACTCGCTGTCTTGCAGGCAGACTGCAGGAGAAGCAAACAAAGAAGTCATTTTAATAGAAAGATGGTTTTTTTCATTCCAACAACTCATCCCTTAAATAAAGAAAACAAAAACCAGGCATGTTTGGCATAAGATAAGGTTTAAGGAACTGAGCAACATTGTACCATTCTATTTTCTTTGTCCCTAACGCTTGCAACTCCTTTTGCATGTTTTCCTCACAGTTTACTTAAAAACCTGATTATATCTTTTTTTCGCTTTTTTTTTAACATTACAGCATTCTGTTCGCTCCTTGAGCAACCAAAAGCATTGCTGAAATGACTGCAAATAAATCAGCCAACAACAACAAAAGCCTCAAAACTAACAAGAACTGTCCCCAACAACAAAGCTCATATTGCTGTCAGCACCCTTCCTTGCAGAGGACTTACATTCCTGAGCGCACCAGCAGGCTCAACAACAAACCATGCCTAGACACATGGGATGGATGAGGGGGTGTTAAAAATGTATAGATATTCAAATGGTAAATATGACAATCTATTATAGAAATCTTTTTTTGTTTTTGAAGACTGAGAGTATTTCTTGGATTTTGTTTTTATTTTGTTTTAAGGTTAGCGGTAGGGAGCACCATGCATTAAGACCTGACATTGCCCAGCTCTGCCAGAGGTTGTGTCTCATCACCCATTCCTTCACACCATAGGCCCTGACGTGCCATAGGATGGCCATGTGGGAGGCTCCAAGTAGGAGCAGACATCTAACATGAACCCACTGCAGTTTCCAAACAGAACCAGTGTGCTTCCAGGAGTCATACAGTCATTCATAGAATCATAGAATCACAGAACCACAGAACCATAGAATCACAGAATCATAGAATAGCCTGGGTTGAAAAGGACCACAATGATCACCTAGTTTCAACCCCCCTGCTATGCGCAGGGTCGCCAACCACCAGACCAGGCTGCCCAGAGCCACATCCAGCCTGGCCTTGAATGCCTCCAGGGATGGGGCATCCACAGCCTCCTTGGGCAACCTGTTCCAGCGTATCTCCGCTCTCTGAGTGAAAAACTTCCTCCTATTATCTAACTTAACCTCCCCTGTCTCATTTTAAAAGCATTCCCCCTTGTCCTATCACTATCAACCCATGTAAATAGCCGTTCCCACTCTTGTTCAAAGCTCCCTTGATGTATTAGAAGGCCACAATGAGGTCTCCTTAGAGCCTTCTCTTCTCCAAGCTAAACAAGCCCAGTTCCCTCAACCTTTCTTCCTAGGAGAGATGCACCAGCCTTCTGATCATCTTAGCAGCCCTCCTCATTGCTAACGCCTGGCTTCACATACAGCAAAGGTGCGAGGAAAGCATCAAATATTTTGGGAAATCACAGCCCCAGTCATCATGAAATCCCCTCTCCCTCTTCCCCCTCCACTGCTGGCAACAGACAAAATATTTACGGTCTGCACAGGGATTATGTTTTATACTCTTTGCCCAGCCAGTGACCTACTGGAATTTCATGTACTGTAAGAAATATGAGCTACCAACCTGCCTCTTCAATTTTTATAATTTCAAGTATTTCTTGCATTTGCAGCTGCCTAAAGGCTCTTTGAGCACAGGAACACAGGAGGGCCGGAAGCGGTGGTTATGGTTACTTCACCTTACATCTCTCTGATGGCCTGTATTTCACTTTAAAACCTGCCAAAACACCTTTCCCAACAAGCTTTCCTGCTGGATTCCTTGCTGTGCCTTGTGTGGGGCCAGGTGCAAGGGGGTCAATGTCAATACCTCCAGCACGGAAGGCAGGGCTGAGACGGACTCCAGGAGCCCACCCAGTCCTATACATACACAGGTTTATGGAGACAAGACACCTGAGAGGCCCCAGGCAAGTCTCGATGTTGGGATTTCTCGAAATGGAAGGCAGCCAAGGGAGGGATGGCGTAGGCGCTTCCCTTTTGTGCACACTGCTACGTGGCTCTTGGCCAAGCGACTGGGTTTGGAGACAAAGTGCTCCCCATGGTGTGGGCCTGGGGCTGTGGCAGCATCATGTGTCCCTGGGGGCACCCTGCAGTCACAGGACTCCTCACAGCCCTGTCCCATGGCAAGCAGCATCTGTCAGGGCCCTGTGCTGGGCCTGTGGGCAGTGCGATCCTCCTCCCAGTCCCATTGAGTCTCCTCACTTCTGTTTTCCAGCTGCAAAATGGCAGTAATTTTGTTGGCCTGCTCTATAAAATGCCTTGCAAACGCTAAGTACTATCATGACTATGTGTAAAATAATCCATTATAGCCTCTGGATGCTGGAGAAGGAATGAATGGTGGCTGGAGTCCACATAAACACTGTGCTAGATCAGTGCAGGCAGTATGACAGCGTTGGTCTGGTCTCTTAGTGCATGTTCTCACAAATCCACATGGGGATGAAAAATCCAAACATATCTCTTGGCTGACAACTGACTAAAGCTATGTCACAGGCAGGAAGAAAACCT